TTATGTTATTTGCAGTCTCAGATCAGAAGGAGTGTCTGATGAATATCTGAAGGCCTTGAGGGATATTCCAGCCAACCATATTGATTGATTGATTGATTGATTGATTGATTGATTGATTATGTACCATCAAGTCAATTCTTAGCAACCACATAGATAGATTTCTCCAGCCTCCAGCCTCAGGACTGCTTCAGGTCTTCCAGTGGTACATCCATCACTGCTGTACCACTGGAAGACCATCTTGCTACTGGCTGTCCTCTTCTTCTCTTTCCTTATACATTTCCCAGCATTAGAGACTTCTCAAGAGAGCTGGATCTTCACACATTGTTTCCAAAATACAAATTAATTCTGGTCATTTGTGCCTTGAGAACTCTGGATTAGCTACACTAGAGACTCAAAAACTAGCTTGCTTGAACTACAGAGTACTGGTGGAAGACAGCCACTAGGAGGAAGAGTGATGCTGGAAATGCCCAGAAGGAAAACTTTCCTTATTTCCATGGCTTAATGAGTGATTTGGGTCAATCATTTTCTCTTAGCTTGACCTTCCTAACAGGATCATTGTGAGATAAAATGGGGGAAGCAGATCCATGTGGAAGGCAGGATGGAATTTGAATATAACTAGCAGCTTCTTGGTCTACCTGGCCCTTCTTCAGACATTGTTACTTCATGAGCTGCTCTGCCATTAACTAAATGTAGACTTAACAATTAACTTGTAAGAAATAATCTTACCTGGAATAGAAAGTGGCAGAATCATTCCTGGTCATGCTGCTTCTTGAACTTTGATGTCAGCATGTGAAATTAATCCCATAACTGTGAAGATACATCCTGATTGACACCATACACCACGCTACATACAAACACACACTCGTACATTATTCAGGAATTTAAAGAGGCTGCCATTTATTGCCTGGATAAACTGGTCTTGGATTCCTGAGTGTTCGTGTGGGTTTCAAAGATATATATGTTCACCACCATATCTGCTTGTGGCTTCAGGTTGTGAAAGTTGGCTTTTCTTGATGGAGCTGAAATGCATGTAATCTGAGCCGTTTGAACACTAGGGGGTGCCCCTCCGTTACTTATCTTTTCTCTGGGCCATTCCTCATTTTATGGTGGTGTTAATGCAGTGTAAAGACATCCATAGTAATAAAAAAATCCAAATTCGTAGCACTGCATCATAATTGTTTTATACCAATCAGATCGTTGGCCTGGATTGTTTATGTATCTTTTCTCAGCATGACTTCCTGCAGAAGTGTTGGGTTCCAAAACCTACAACGTGAGCCAGCTGGTTTGAAAACTATGGACATTTTCATCCAGTGCTTCTGGAGAAGGGGTCAGCCGTCCAGGATTTCACACAGGAGAAATTTCTAGCCTTAACTGGAAATGGAAGATATTGGACCTAGAATTTAGGAGGCATGTAATTATGCCACCATTCCACCTCACATAGAATAGCACTGATTCCATTCATCTCCTCTTATTCTTTTTCTTCCTTCCATTCTCTTTGCTGAAGCTTAGTTTGGTGTTACTTTTTCCTTAGATGAGCCTGTAATGCACTGTCTCCTTTATGGGCACTGTATAAATTAGATGGATAACTTGGGATCTAGGGGCTCCATATGCCTGCAGAGAAATTTCATAAAACCTCTACACTCAATCAGTTTAGAACTTCAGAAAGGGCATTCTGGCTGTAACTCTTTATTTCAATTAGCAACATTTTCAGGCAGCAAACATCTCTGTGCATGTCCAGGTTGGGGGGGGGGGTTGTTTTTATTTTGCTTTTTAAAAGAAGTCAGAACACCCCTTGACAACAAAAAAAGGGTTTCCCACTTGAGAAGAATCAGTACATGAATGATAGTATTTTAAAATCATTATTGTTATGATTACAATTCTCATATATGAAAGCAAAATAGTTTCACTGGAATATTTATTTATCCTGTGCTAATAACAAATAAAAAGGCCCCTGTAGGGAAGAAAGCCCCAAAACTTTTTTTTTCCAGTTTTTCCCCAATTATTCCACATCTCTTTTTTTCCTTTGAGTTTTGCATCTCCTCTTTGCGTGACTATCAAAGTGGTCAAGTGCGGGGTGCATATGTCAAAATCTGCAAGATCGCGATTCCATATCCACCATCTTGCAGATTTTGAACAGCCCCCCCACCCCCGGACAGCTATGCAGAATCCATTGTTATCGACTTTCACTTTCAGGATCTGACCTCCCTGAAACTCTCAGGAAACCAGATAGTCATGTTGCCTTCTTCAGAGAAATGGTCTTGCCGATCGCTGAAATCTCTGGATCTCTCCAAGAATCAGCTTGGAAAGTGAGTTCTTTTGGTTTTTCTTAAGCAACACCACAGAGGAAACCTTCCCATTTCATGGGTCTTTGTTTACATTTGCCTGCAGAACTGAGGAAGGGACCAAAACTAAATGGATTCCATTTTTCACTACAAGGAACAGGACTTGTGTCGGCACTGAGATCGGTAAGTGTGTGGGTGTAGGAGAGAGACAGACAGACAGACGCACAGAGTGAAATGAAGAACTGAGTGGGCAGGAGTGTGACTGTTCAAGTACAGTCTTCCATTTCCTTGATGGCTGCTGCTTCTGCTACAATTTCTAGCCTCTTGTCTTTAAAGAGACCCATAAAACCAACTGATACGTGAACAAGGCTCTTTGATTATGTCATAATCTTTTTTTACCTACATACTTTGTGGGGGGAGTGTAAGCAGCTCGTGGGCCACTTGTGCCCCCTTTATTGTGACTTTGCAATCTTCTGAACCCATTTGACCATTTCCCCAAATTGGTAGCAAATGACTACTTTCACACTACTTTTCTTCTGCTTTGTTCTGGTTTATTTCCTTAAAAGGCCATTTTTCTCCATAGGGTTAGGGGATCGGAAAGGATTTTCTGGTTTTTATATTTTTTGGAATCCCTTTTGATCTCAGTCCCATTTTCATCGTGAGTGTATCCTCTGTCACCTTGTGATCAAGTGCAATTCTCTGCTGTAAGAAAAATGGGCCAAATGAGTGTTTTAATATTAATAAATAGCAGATTGTTCTCCTATCCCTTTCCTCTTACCTGTGTTTGACAGCAGGCAAACAGGATGTGCAGTAGGTGGCTTTGTCCTATCAAAGTTCATTGCTATTTTGCAGGCTGCATGTGTTCTTCATTTTCTCTTATCCTACTCGTATTTGCCATTTTCCTTTCTCCAGGATCTACCCTGCAGTTTCCTGAATTCCTGGCCGATACTCTGGAGGTCCTCTGTCTGAATGACAACCAACTAGACTCCGTCCCACAATCAGTTTGCCTTCTCAGAGGGCTGTCAGAACTCTACTTAGGAACGTGAGTTCAGTTCTTCCAAGCAGTTGGAAATGTTGCATCAGGTGAACATTTAGTTCACTAGCCACTGAAACCTGGAGGCTTCCTTTGATGAACTTGGCTGTTTCCGTACAAAGATTGGGTGCTGTATGGGGTAAAAATCCTGATGTTCTCCAAAGATTTTCAAATGTGTTCCCATAATTCCAAGACAGCATTGCCAAGGTGCAGATGGTATAGGAATTTTAGCACAACACAACTGGAAGACCCAAAGACCTAAGAATGGGGAGATACAGGATCAGATTCCCTGCTTAGCCAGGAAACTCCAATGTCCATCTCTCAACCAATTCTATCTTTAAGTTTGTTTATGGCAAGGGGAGGGAATGGTTGAAGAAAAACAATATATGCTCACTGTTTTCCTGGGAAGAAGGAAAAGATTAAAAAGAAATAAACTACAGTACATTGGGTAAAAGGCTATAATAATTTTAAAATTCTCAGGATTATCCATTTCCCTGAGAACCTGTTTGCCCACCCAGATTTTTAACAGCACCAATAAGAAGCAGATAAAATAGACTTTGACTGAATGGATTGCATTTCTTCTTAGCTACCCAGAAAGTAGAGAATCTTCATTTGTTCAAGAGGCATAGTTAACTTTATCATTCTTTTTCTTCCATTGAAATTCCATGACGGTTTTGTCCAAGCTAACCATTTCACATTATACCTCCAAATGTTCCTTTGAAGATTAGATTTGTTGCCAACTTCCATATAAATGTCTTCCTGGGAAAGGCAGCTGATTGGTTGATGAGTGTGCTTCCTTTTTTGCATAGTAACCCAGGCATCCAAGAACTTCCTCCTGAGCTTGGACAACTGGTTAATCTTTGGCAGCTGGATATCGAGGATCTAAATATTGGCAATCTTCCAGTGGAGATCAGAAAAGAGGGTGAGGTTCTTTTCTTTCTGAAACTTATTAATCTCAGCTGTTTGAGCAGCGAGGGAATCCAAACCAAGCCTGATTTTATTTATTATTGAATGGTAGGCAATATGGAGTGGCTTCTGTCCAGGCAGTTGTTGTTATGAAATAGAACTGCAGACCTAAAACTTTCCATGCGATTCAAATTCAGCTTGATCAGTTTGTTTGCAGGCAACCTCCTCCCTTAAACGGCAGTTCGTAGTACAGCCATTTAATGGTTTCCATTTTTTTTCTTACGTTCTTGGCTATTTCTGGGTAAGTGCTGTAGAAATGATGGGCAATATTTATTATTTCGCAGAACGTCACACTTTTTGACACCCACAATCCAGAGATGTCAGCTTTGTCACTTCCTGGCCCAAGGCTGTATTTTCCAGAGAGATTTTTCTGTTGTTACTGAATTTATTGGCAGTTCTGCAGCATTCAAGACAAACCATAACTGGAAATTAAGGATCCTTGGCTTACATAAAATCAAGCTTCTAGTGTTTACTAATTTTGAATAAGCCTATTATTGCTGCCTTGAACAATTGATCATGCACACTGGTTGGTTTATTTTTGCAATTTATAACCTCCGTATTCAGCCCAAAGTTTAGATCAGGAAAGCCCAAGTTTTTTTTTTAAAAAAACCCTATCCATTCTCTCTGAATTGTTTTCCTTTGTCATCCTATCTTCCCGCACTTCCAAGGAACAGATGGGGGGAGAAAGAGAGAGAGAAAAGAAGCAGATTTCTCTTGTTCAGGGCCCAAATTGATTGCCTGTAGAGGGCTTTGAAAATTAGTCCAAGGACCACCAAGATGACTGCAGATTGCTCCCCCTACACAAAATAACCTTTCTCAATCTTTGGACTAGCTACCATCTCTGTAACGATTTCTTCATCCCTTCTATCTACAGGGCCCAAGACCATTTTAGCTTACTTACGTGCCCAGCTGCGCAAAGCAGAGAAATGTAGTCTGATGAAGATGGTGGTGGTGGGTCCTCCACGGCAGGGGAAATCCACCTTGGTTGAGATGCTGCAGACAGGGAAGCCTTCTCTATCAATGCCTGATAATGCCACCATCCGGACCACAAAATGGGAGCTCCAGAGACCTGCTGGATTGAAATCAAAGGTAAATAGAAGGAGAGAAACTTTCAACTTTCCATAAGTAGCTTTGAAAGGCAGGACAAGGCATGCAAAATTTGATAGCTCTACATTGATTCCAGTTGGATTTCTAGTTAACAATTCATTTTGCCCACCTGTTTTGTTGACTAATGAAACAACGTTAATTGTTTCACTGTCAATCACAAGCCCTTTTTGCTTATTTTAAGGACTTTTCCCAAGTTACTGACTGCTTGATACTCCAACATTGTAGGTGAATACTCAGTTTCTCTGGCAAGGGGCTACCCAGGCAAGGAATTATGGCAATTCAAAGCTAGTACACATAGAGAAAACAAGGTTGAAGGAGGTTGATGCAGGTTTCTTTTTGTCACTCCTGAATCACACCCATCAGTTTGATCTCTCCCCAAACAGTAAATAATGATATGAAAAAGGGGGAAAGTTCTCTACACTTTGACATGATCTCATTTGCAGACTTTTAAAAAATCTCTGTCATGAATCCATAACAAAAGAATAATGAACATGGAGTATATGGAAAAGGGAAATGTTTCTGAAAGTGAAAGTTAGTCACCTTCAGCAATTTCAGATAGCACCTCAAAAATTAAACAGAACAACCCCCCCCCCCATTTTTATTTGAATCCATCTAGAAACACTTCCAGAGTGGGCCTTCTGAGGCCACATCCTTGCTAAATGAACATGTCATAGAATTCTAGAATTAATTATCTGGTTTGTACCCCATTCAGCATCTGAATAAAACTGTCAAGGATGTAGAGGACTTTGGGGATGAATTTAGTGACTACAGAATAGATCCCAGTGTATTTCACAATAGATTTGTTTGTGTCCACCCATTCCTTTTCCATATGGGGCCTTTCACACCTGGGCCTCATACGTTTTCAGTGGGATTCTAATAAGAAGCCTTTGTTCTGTTTCATGGACTGTTTTGCAAATTCAGCAGCAGATTAACTGGTTGGACTGATGTGGAATTTGACCATGATGCCTCTTCTCTGCCAGAGCTGGCTTCCACTCTAAATCTTAGCCCTGAGAATGTGTGGCTGCTTTAAAAGCAAGCAATTAATGTACATTTCCTGTGGGGAAGGGATCATCCCCCTTGACAAGTGCTCTTTCTTCAATTTGAACATTGATACCCATTGATGCCTAGGTGCCGTACATTATGAAGATATTGGAGGTTGCAAGCTGATTATGCATTCACCATTATCTCGCTCTCATTTGCTAACGGGGGGTGTTCGGGCCCTTCAATGTAGCTCTTTGTCCAATTAGGTTGATGCCGTCGAGTTTAACGTCTGGGATATCGGAGGCCCCGCCAGCATGTCAACAGTCAACCAATGCTTCTTCACAGATAAAGCATTGTACATTGTCATCTGGAACTTAGCACTGGGGGAAGAAGCTGTGGCAAATCTTCAGTTCTGGTTACTCAGTATTGAGGTAGGGGCAAAGCCATGGGCTGGTTTGCAGAATTTCAGTGCCCCAGTGGGAGTACAGACAGGTTTAGACACATTTGGCAAAAGCCATTGTTCATTACTAACAGCTTCACTTGAAATTCTTCAGAGTTGACATCTCCCTTATACCTTCCTCCCCACAACAAAGTGCCTCTGTTCTTATCCGTTCCTAATGTTTATTCCAGAAACACATTTGTGAACATCTAATCTAGGCTCCCCTGTCCTGTCATCCTCCAGATATGTTAGATTCCAGTTCAACAGTTCCTCAGGATAAAGGGCCAAGCTGTTTTGTAGCCCAAGTGGAAGAATAAAACAATTTCCTTTCCTGATCCAGGTACAAAAGCTGATAGGACTTGTAGTAGAACCTTTTTTCAGTCCTCTTAATGGGATACCGGTATCTACCTCACCTCAAAGTATGATGTCTGAATGGAAGCTTTGTGGGTTGTTTGAAAAACTGTAGTTAATGCCATGCTCAGCATGCTGAGTGATACGCCATTGCGTGTTAAGGAAATGGTGGCAGTTGTAGACACTTGTATTTCCTAGCTTATCCTGGTTTGTTGGTCTGTCCTACCTAAGACTTCCACAGAGATGCCAGGAAAGAGCAGCTTTGAAAAAAAAACATTCATTAGCCAACTAGGATACGGTCACTTCATTTACCTGCCAGACCAAATCTAGTTTGCTCTGGCTCTGCCAACCAACTGTGGTTGAAATAAACCATGTCTTAGTGCCAATCTCTCTTTCCAGGCCAAGGCTCCAAATTCAGTTGTGCTGGTGGTAGGGACTCATCTGGATTTGATTGAAACAAAATTCCGTGTTGAGAGGATCGCCACTCTAAGAGCCTACGTCCTAGCCATCTGTCGATCTCCCTCAGGTTCAAGAGCCACTGGTTTTCCAGACATCACCTTGAAGCATTTACAGTAAGTTGGATATTGGGTGCAACAACTCACAGTAGCAAGGCCTTACTTCCAACTGTTTGCCTTTCAGCTACTCAGATATGACTCAGGAATAAAGAGATGCATCACAGATCTAGCTGTGAGCAAACTGAGGAGTTTTGCTGCAGCAGACGTACTGCTGTGAAACGTTCTTCCTGGAAAGTTGTGCATTCGCATGGCCTTCCAGGAAGCACTAAGGAAGTGGCCATTCTTCTTCTAAGGGCCAAACACAGCCTAAGTTCTCTAGGCATTTAAAAAATAGACAGGACCACTCCTTCACCTCTTAAGGTTTGTAAAGTCAATGCATCCTGCATACATCTGGCAAACTTTCCGTACTGATTGATTGATGAACCAGACTGGAAATCTCTGTCTGAAAATGGACAGCTGATCAGAATGGACTAATCCTAGTCCACAGACCTGAAAGGTAACAGAATGCCTTGATGCCATGCTGGTAGATCTGTTGACAGAGTTCCGCCTGTCTGTATCATTTCATTTATTTTTGTTGTTCCTTTTTTAAAAGAAGAAAACGTCTGGTTTCCATTGATTGCTGGGGGCGGTTTTCTTTTCGTTCTGTTTTGGAAAACTCTTTTTCAGAGGCTGCTCCCCATCCTTCCTCATGACCCCCATAACACAAGGCATGGTATTCCCATCTTTCTGGCTGCTGCGGTAGTCTGCAAACCCTGCTGATGCTTCTTTCACAACCTTTCCCTAAAAACCTGGTTCATCTCCCAGCAATCCTTGCTCTTTTTCCAATTCCATCTTCTCACGAATTTCCTTTCAGCTGGGGGAATATTATAACAGACTTTTCCAGTCAACCTTTTCCCCCTCAGACAGTTCCTCTTACTCAGACTCCTTCACCTATTGCTACTGAATGGTGAGGCCAGGATAAGCAGTGTGCTGTTTGGTGATTTGTGCTCTGCAGGAAAACTATAGTATGCTGCAGACAGAAGCTCCATTATATCCTGTCACTGTGCGGTGGTCTCCTTCCTTCCCCCCACCCTGGTCAATGGTGACTGGATTTTAGCAACAGAAGATACTGTTTCTGAAGAAATACCCTTTAGTTTCCTTCCCTTGCAGCCTACAGAATATGTGGAGGATGAGTAAGAAAAGACTTGGTGGTGAGGCACAGAAAAAAAATTACTCCTCATAACGTGAAGACCGAGGGGAGTGCAATACAGTAAAAGCAGTTCTTAAACAGCAAGAGATTTTTTTTTTAGTGTCTGAGATTAGGGCCTAAACCCTTCTGTTGCCTCACAAAATTGTACTCCAGAGAGCTGGTCACACTCTTTTCCACAAAGCAAAGCCTAGCTCTAACATTTTAATTCTACAGCTCAATCCAACATGTACCACAAGCAGAGCACAAGATAGCATTTCCATGTCATGCTTAAGCTTTCAGGCAGATACAGTCACTGCCCACAAAAATGTGTGGGTAATGAACCATCTATGGCTTGGTTAGCCAAGCCTAGCATGACATTTGAATGTGAGATTTTAGCTTTCTCGGTGGAGAAGGAATTAGAGGTCAACAGTAGCTGATTGTCTGGCTTCTTCAGGACACATGACTTCAGAGTCCCTTGTCTGTTTATTAATTGCATTTCCTGGTGCCCAAGACAGTGGTGCATCATTAGAAAGACAGCCTTACGGCTTAGAGTAGCAACCTGGTCTTGGCTGTAAAGGTAGCAAGCCTGTTTTGCTAACAAGGGACAGGGTTGGGTACCTAGCAAAATGTGTTTGTGTGTGTGTGTGTAATATGGACAAAATATTTTCCCTTCCATTTTCAACAAGTAATGCCATCGGTTAAAGAGCAAATGTAACAAGGAACGCTGAGTTGATCTTGGCTTATATCAAAAAGCTGAGCATGGTCAGACCTCATTAGTCCATGGGTGGGAGACCAGTGGAAATCTAGGGCTGTAGGCTATATTATGAAATCAGAAGGACAGCAGTGGCAAAGCATTTACCTATTGACATATTTAAAGCATTACATATTTACATACAAATCTTCTTGATCTGTATATTGCTTTTATAGATTTGTTATTTGTGTTTTAATTGGGGGGTATTTATATTTTTATTGTTTTTATTGTCTTGGTTTTTAATTGTAAGTCGCCCGGGGTCACCCTCTGGGGGAGATGGGCGGCGTATAAATTTAATCATAAGTAAATAAAAGATGGTTTTTCTTGCCATTTTTCTTTGCAGTGAACTCTCGTGCAAAACACTGGAAGGCTTGGATGGGTTGCGACAGTTGATCTTTCACATCAGTGCAAACATGAAGGATGTTGGAAGTTCCATCGGCTCGCAGAGGCTTGTTGGGAGACTGGTGTGTAATTTCCTAGAGGGGACAGCTATGTCGCTTTGGGCAGTTAGGGGTTTCTCAGCTTTGTAACTTTTAAGGGACACGTAAGCCCTACTGAGAAGTATTGTAAACATGGCACTGCTTTGTACACATTAAGACTCCTTAGCTGCAGTTGTGTGCCCAGAACATGCAGATGTTGGAGGGTGGGACAGATTAGTCTGCACAATGTACATTTACTTTGTGACTGGGTGTGACTTCTGAGTATGGCTATAGTTCCAACTAATTTCATCTAATCTCATGTGGGAATTCTGACTGAATAACAGCAGCAGGGAATAACTTCTCTAGCCTTATCTCCTTAGCCTTCGTTATCAAGTGGGGAGAATTTTTGGTTCTCTAGATGTTGGTGAACCATAGCTTCTAAAAACTGCAGCCGGTTGATGAGGGAAGCTGGGAGTTATCTTTCACTAACATCTGGGGTAGTCTGAAACCATTCCGGTTGCTCTTCTCCAGTTCTACATTCTGTTTCTCCAGCCCGCCCCCCTCCAATTTTGGTGGGTCAGTGCCCTACTATGATCTCAGCAACAGTTGCTTATTTAGACAATCCTGAAATAGGATTATAGATTTGTGAGATGTATTTTAATTGTTTGAAAGAAGGGCATGAGATTGATGGCCTTTCCCTTTCATTCAAATACTCAGCATCTGGTTTTAAAAGATATATTGCCTCTAGACATGTTGGCTTCATGTCTGCTCTCATAGCCAGCAGTAGAACCATCCTCCATGAGTTTGTCTGATCCAACCCAATTACCTCCAGGAGTGGTTTATTGGAATGGCAGCTTCTAGAATTCTTGGAGCTGCTTGGAGAGGACCAATTTGTGTGAGACTAGTTTGAACCCCTCTAAATCAACGACCATCACCACATCTTTGAACAGTTAATTAGCATACTTGATCAGCCTTTGATGAAAACTTCGACAAAGTATATCTTACTTTTTGCATCCAGAACCAAGGCCCTTTTATTGGCTGATCCTAAATTCCAGGTAATACATGAGGAGAAAAGGATACCCCTTTCATAACAACAACATCCTCAATTTCATTCCTTCTTAGTCTCAGTAACCAGAATGTGCTATATAAAACTGAACAGATACATTGCTTTGATCAAGTGATTGATTTGCAGTATCATGTAACAGGTCCCAAGGAGCTATTTGAGCCTTCAAGTATCTGTCATAATTGAGCAACAGAGGAGAAGCCAAAATGATAACGTGCAATATCTCACTGACAAGGAAATACAAGAAATCATTGAGAAAACTCCAGCCAATGACATCAAGGACTATGAAGACATGCAGTCTGGTATATATTCATGGAATAATTTTTCAGAGGCTAGACATACGGTATGCTTGGCAGTGTACAAGTATATTCTGCGCACAAACTTCGTGTGTGTGTGCAAAGTTGCGGTGGCAAGGTTTTTCTGGTGTTCATGAAACCCAAAAGATTAAGCTGCAATTGTATCATAGCTGCAGACTCCCTGAGCGGGAACAGCAAGGTTGGCCATAGCATCATAAGGAATTCCTGGGGTGATTTGCATGGGGCATTCTGAGTATTTCAGGAAACAATGAATATTATAAATGGCAGGGAAAATAACAGTGGTGATGCCCATTTATACCTGCTTTTCCACCCGTGGGAAACTCAAGAGGGCTAACCACCTAAAACAAAATATGAACAATCAAAGTTTATTTATACTCTAAGACCCAACACAAGAAAAAGACCAACAATACAATAGAATAAAAGAATGTTTAAAAATCCAAGAAAATTCTGAAACAATTAACAGCTAATAGTTAATAGCATGAGGGAGGAATCAGATAGCTTCTAAGAACTATAGCTGTTGATATCAATTTTTCAACCTTCTTAGAGGTTTCAGAATGGCGTTGGCCTCTTGGTCACAATGGCAACTGAAGTTGTTAACAACTGGAAATATTGACTGCCATTGGATGTACAATGGATATTTTAATAACACATGTGAAACACATTCTGTCTCTTTGAACAAAAACAAGTACGGCTTTCATAGGGGAGACTTACATATCTGCCAGATGTTGCCCTAATAGCTAATGCCCCAATTTGGGCAACAGCAAATAGTCTCCTATGAGGGGCATATAGAATTTTGAAGAAATATCTAGGAAAAGTCCAAGGAGAAAGGGAGTTGTGTTATAAAGGGGAAGGGAAATATTGGCTCTATCATTGTGGATATCTAAATCCCAAATCCTCTGCTCCAGTTCAACCAGATTTTTATTAAGACCCAAAGCAGATAATGCTGGCACGGAAAGACTGCAGTATGCCAAATCATCATTCATGTGTCTTCTTAGAGTGGAGGAGAACCTGTCTAGAAATATTAGATGGACCCCAATCGAGTTGCTTGAGCTAAAATCTGAGATGACGAAGTCTTAATCCAGCCCCAAGGGAAACACAGCCTAGTTCCAGTCTTATTAGAATTTGAATAAGGGACTGATACGAACAATTAAAGACTTTTAAAAGCAGAAAGATGTATTTCAGATAAATAAATTGAAAGTGGAAATGGACCTTTGCAACTCTATGAGGACTGTATTTCGTGGTTGAGGAATATATTTGGAAACAATGCATTTGGCTCCAGTCCAGATTGCATTGTGGAGCTTTGTATCTGTCTTACTTTTGTATTTTTTCAGTAATGTGAATATACACATCCCCTCCCTCCGATCCCGTGTGTGGGCCTGGCACTCTTTCTGCTACAGCAGACTGTTTGTGCATGGAAAACTGAAGAGAATGAGTGGAGTGGAAAAGTCCCTGGTGCAGAGGAATTTAAAGATATAGTACCAATCTCTAAATGGCAATCTGAAAAGAAGGGATAGGAGTAATTAAAAAGTGGTTGCACCCCTAGCCTAACTGTGATATCTTCCTTTCCCCACAGCCATCAATTTCCTAATAGAAACAGGAACACTGATGCATTTCCCAGACACAAGCCATGGGCTGAGGAATCTCTATTTCCTTGACCCAGTGTGGTTGTCTGAATGTCTGCAGAGAATCTTCAACATCAAAAGTTCAAAGTCAGTTGCCAAGAATGGTGTGATCAAAGCAGAGGACCTCCGGATGCTGATGGTTGGGACAGGTTTCACCAAAGAGACAGAAGAGCAGTATTTCCAATTCCTTGCCAAGTTTGAAATTGCATTACCGATAGCTAACAACAGGTACATTGGTAATTGTCATCAGAGTGGAGTCACTGAGATTAAGGGAACCAAAAGGGCATGAAAAGAAGTCACTCCAGACTCCCCCCTTTTCCTTCCTCTCTGATTTGGTTATTCGTGGAGACAAATTAAGTGGACAATTTCTCCAAACGCCAGACTCAAAAGGCACAAAGAGCCTTCTGAAATTCTCCAGCATATTTGTGGAGACAAATTAGGTGGACAGTTTCTCCAAACTCTTTCCAGGGAAGGAGAAATGCCCCAACATTTCCCAAAAGAAGGATTCTCTCTTAGGAGCGATAGTAGCACTACAACTGAAAAAGCTCCATGACAGAAATCCACACTTGTTATTTTCCCTTTACACTTCACTGGTAGGATAGGAAGCCAGAGAGGTTGCAGGGATGATGAAAAATAGAACATTCATGCTCTTCTTGGCCATCTTATCTCTAAATAAATTCCATCCATTAAAGTTTCCCCCAAAATTTCTCCTTTGGAAGAATGTCTAAAGGAAGGTCTTTTTCATCAAATGGAATGAAAACTAGAAGAAAAATGCAAGGGAATTTTTCTTCAAGACCGTCGCATGGCCAAAATTTATTTCAGCTATGCTTCATTGACCAACCCAGAGGCAGTCTGATAAATCATGTATTCATGGCTCATTCAGCCAGTTCCTGGATTATTTTCCTTCCATTTCACCTTCCTATATCCACATGGGGCTAAAAAACAAAAAGAGCCCAGTGTTCTGAGCTCAAACATAACAAGCAGTGGTTAAAACCAGAGTCATATTTGTGGTTTATTAGCTATGATGGGGTCAGTGTTCCTGTTCATCTGTTTCCCACCGCTTTTGCAAACAACTAGAGCCAAGAGGAATAAGATCTCAAGATGTTTGTCACTTAGCTAACCTTGTTTGGGCTGAAAAGATAAGCTGGGTCAGGCTTGGTCAGTACTTAGGTGGGAGACCTCCAGAAAATTATAGGGATGTAGCTAGAATTAGAAAAATCATCTGAGAAGAAATTGGTGGCAAAGTTGCTTCCTTATTGTTTCCAAGAAAACTATCTGGACATGTCCATGTAGTCATCAGAAGTTGCGCTCAACTTTAAAAATAAAATGTTACTTTTAAAAGGAACAAGTCACCATAAAATCATTACATTTGAAGGGAACCAGCTTAGACACACAAAAAACACTCTGACAAGGTGGCTAAGACATAACATGGGTTGGTTTTCATGCAGCATGATGTGCTCACCCGTTCATAATGGCTTAGCTTTATGCGTAAACAAGGCCACTATGGTTTATTCAACAGACTTATTTTAAAAACCCTGACCTAGACTTGTGTGTGGGCAAACCAGACTAGTGGGCCATTACCACATTATACTTGCACTTTTCAAAGCCATTTGCACTTTATTTTCTGACACACATTTACACTTTCCTATTCAACTCCAGTTCTTACCTTCCTGAAGAATAATTTATTCTAGGGACAAAGCTACAACTGAAAATGTATTGTGCATAGAGGAGAAGGAACAATAATATCTGGGATTCTGAAGTGGGCAGGGGGGAATGATAGCCCTTTCTTCTTGCTTTTCCTCCAAATACCTTCAAGCAGTTGTTTACAAAAGTTTTCTAGAAGTTGGAAACTTAGGGATGTTCCTCCTTTTGGAGCACAGACATGCCCATTGCGATGGATAAAGGAGGCAAAATGGTGCAAAGTATTAACATTCTCCAGGAGCAGAGCAGGGAAGATATACATTTGGTACCACGTTGCCCTGCCTCACTGTCATTTGCAATGGGAAGGCCTTCATGGTGGTGGGAGGCACTCTGGATTGACTCTAATTACTCCTCTAATTACTCCTCTAATTCTTTGTGGCTCCTGTTTGCATCACACCATAAAAGAAACGCAGGAAGCATGGGGAACCTAGTTGCTTCTGGGTGTTGGACACCACAATCCCTTGCCTCTGGCCGTTCTGGCTGGGGTTGATAGGAACTGCAGTCCAACGCTTTCTGGAGAATACTCATAGACACTGTCATTATTGCAAAGGCCTGTTTCTCTTCCTTTCAACCCAATTTATTACATCTGGCTGTCAGGGAGTGCCTAAAAATAATCACAATAAACTTTGCACATGAAGCTGACACGTTAGCAGATCTTTCTGCCAAGGAGATAGGGTGTCAGGTCTTTGCATTCCCCGGAAGGAATTTGGAGAGATTTGTGTTGGACTTGTCTTAAGGAAATGGATTCTTCAGTGTTGCCATCATGAGCTTCTCTGAATTATGAGTCAGAAGCTGCTCAGTTTGGGAGCTTAAGAAACCAGATTTTTTTCCTCACATTTGTTCTTTCCTCCTTCCTTTCTTTTCTTGCCAAACCAATCACAGCAAAGAAGCACATCATTATGTCCTCCTTTCTTAGCCTTTTTCAGAGCCTTTTTATTTATTTGTTTACTTTATTTATTTATTTAATTTCTTCCCGCCCATCTCCCCCCAGTGGGGGACTCTGGGTGGTTCACACAAAACATTAAAAACCATAAATACGTATAAATACATAAAACATTAAAATTTTAAAAAAATTTGTTCAAACTATGCTGCTATTTATTGACACTGTTATTACGATTAGCTCTTTCTGATGGATCATCAGCAATTAGTCTGGATTGTCGGACAAGTGGTTTGCGACCCTGTGGTTGGGTAGAAAAATAATTGTTTTATCAGCCAAAAAATGTATTTTGGAATGTTCTTAATCAAGTTTAAGGGGTATTCTGAGACTGTTTCCTTTTGTTAGTCTCATATGGAGTGGAATTTCGACCCTGTGGTTGGGTAGAAAAATAATTGTTTTATCAGCCAAAAAATGTATTTTGGAATGTTCTTAATCAAGTTTAAGGGGTATTCTGAGACTGTTTCCTTTTGTTAGTCTCATATGGAGTGGAATTTGGCTATAGCTGGAAATGCATTATACAGGACCATTGACCACAATTCACCGAGATTCTGACAGTAGCAGTTTAATCATTCAGTATAATGTATAATGCAATTTTTCATCAGCATATCTTTTTCCGGAAGGAGTTCCTGGATTTAAAAGAAAGCAAGATCTGCTAGCATTCAATTGTAATGCTTTTTAAATAATATTTATAATTTTAAAGACATATAATGTTCTATATTTTTGAACTTCTCATTGTGAAACCAAGACAGGATCTTTATTGGAAGCCCTTTTGATGTGTAAGACACTGCAGTGGCAAATTATCACAACTTCTGTAGGAACGTGGTAACAAAATAGCTAGACAGTGTCTACTGTGCTTCAGATTGGAGCACAAGACACATATTTCACAGATATATATTTCACATATATGGGATAAATAGGAGGTCCTGGAAAGGGCACGTATTTGAGGTGACTAGTGCTTTGATTGCTGTAGAGCACTTTATGAGTGTAATTTTCTATCTGCAAAAGTTGGAACAATCAAAGGTTTTTTTAAATGAATCCTTTCCTGTCCACTGATCCTTTGGGGAAAGCATAGTTAAGAGTGTGCCTGGTGTTCTTGCCCCAGCTCTGCTCATTTTCAGGAAAAGTTCCTATTAGTAATTCCAATATAGTCAGTTTCAGTCCCTTCTAGTCAATTTCTAAATGCTCAGAGAAAATACCCAGTTTGATTTTGATGAAACATAAATACTGCAAGGTACACAAGCCACAACTGCCTTAAAAAAATAAATAAAAGTGGTTGGGAAAGAATCTAGATTTTGGGGGGGAAAAAATAGGAAGGAGGATAAGTTGGAACATATGTGTTCCAAAAGTGAAGTATTCAAGACGGTAATGGGATATAACCCCCTGTATACATAGAGGTTTCATCCAGCAGAGGGAAATAAAGTTCTGCTTTCAAAAACTTCATCTTATATAATCGGAATGTTTAACTGGGTTTCAGTTATCTTCTGCCCCACCTGCTTCCTGCCAAGCCAGCCTTTGATGTTCATGGCTTACGCCACCAGACAACAAACACCATCCAAAGAGTATTCAAGATGAGTTTTGTCCCTGTTGGCTTTTGGCAACGGTTTATCGCCCGGATGCTGATCAGTCTTGCGGAGATGGATCTTCAGGTATGTGGATGAAAGACTTGGGAAAGAACTTCAGCGTGAGATGAAAGGTTGAGCAACAAACTTTGCTTGCAAATGCCATTTCTTTGTCTAGAATGGAATGTAAATGAAGCATCAGCATTACTGTGAATATCTTATGATCTGTTCCTTTGTTGTGGGCCAAAGATAGTCAAAATACATGTTCATTAGTGAGGCCTAAGTTCCAATCCCCTCACAGCCTCACTCAGAATCCTTGGAAAATGAACCTTCTTTCAATTTCAGTTATGTGCAAGAACTGCCTTATAATGAGATCATATTAATATTAACGCATTTGCAGGGTGCAGACTGGGCATGTTGAATGTTGATTGTCTCTGATTCTACAGAAGGGCAGGGCAGCCTAAAGCTGGGAGCAAAATGCCAAGAACTCTTGGGAATTTTGAGATTCAGAATCCAGCATTAAATGATAATCACAACATAATAGTTTACAGACATTGGTCACTTTCTAGCATGAACCAGACCTATCATAGAATTAGCTATAGGCACAGTTCTCAATAGCTCTGTTTAGTTGTCTGCAATCAGCAGTACTTGTGGAGAAGAAATCTCTGGGAAATTAGAGTTGGTAGGATCACATCACTACAGTCTACTTCGATATTTTCCCATTTGCCCAATGGCTGTGGTCCAGAGGACAGAAACCAGGGTTTTCAGGAATAGTGTTGGAGGGAAAGCCAAATTTGGGTTTGCTGATGGAGATCCCACTGGATTCAGTCCTTTACACTATACATGCTTTTTCCCTGCCACGTTTTTTACTTTGGTCAGATCCCAAAGAGGGTATTTTGATGGCATCAAGAAGCACCAAAATCGTCCTGCACAATTATAGAGTAGAGCTTTGTTTCTCTTCAAAGCAAAAGTGATTCAAGCATGCCTGTAATCAGAGTGTGTGTTTTGCTGAAGACATAATAGAAATACACTTGGCACTAGTTAATTCTAAGCACTTGATTACATTGGCATTAACTTCATGGGCAATCTGTGTAATTACCCACCCAATCTTGTTATCTTGTTATTATCCTGTCATCACATCAAACCGTTCAGTTGATTTGTATCAGCACCGATGCTGGGAATAATTCTGCAGGACCTCAGGGACATAGTAGGCTCCTTATGAACATACAATTTTGGGGGGAAAAAATTAAAAGTATTTCCTGGTAACATTGTGTATTCCTAGGATGGGCAATCCAGCTGCACTGTTAGACCAACATTTCAGTATTTAGGGGAGACAGTAGGTGGTAGCCATAAGGTTGAGTATCTTTGATGCTTATCTTTGCCAAACAATGTTAATACCAAGAAAGAAGGTTGCCCTATGCTGGCCAGGATTATATGATGAAGTTTGGTGATGTTTTGTAATCAGGAGGTACGTGATTTGCACTGCACTGGGAAGGTGATCAATAGGTATAAATTCTCCATTATGTGGAGAAAGCACAGAGGGAAATGTTTTCCTAGAATCCAATAAACAAAAAGTGGGAGTTACTGGACAAAGGAAGGACTTCTTCCCCCAACACATAAACTGTAGAACTTGCTACGTGAGAGAGACAGTTAAAAACTACCAGCTTGGATGTTTTAAAAAAGAGAAGATAGAATTCTTGGAGAAGAAAGCACTCAGTGGCAACGGGATCTAAATGACAATGGTGGCCACGGCCTGTTCTGTACCATCCCAGAGCAAAGGATGCAAAACAGTGGTCTTCAGTTGCAGGAAGACTGATTGACTGCTGGAAAAAGAGTGAAATACACCATCAGTAGCAATATAGTTTCCAAAAACTGGGAAACTATCATAATTTCACTGTTCTCTGAACTAGACAGACTCCACCTCAAGCATGGTGTTCGGAGGTCCACGCTTTTGCAGATGATTCAGAGAAACTGGAATAGGCATAAAGAAAAGTGTGAAAATGATTAGGAGATAGGAAGTTGTGTTATTGGAAGAGATTGAGGGAAATGGCTATGTTTAGCCTTCAGAAGGGAGGACTGAGAGGGGACATGAGAATACTGTTCAAGTACTTGCAAGCAAATTACATAGAGATCAGAGTCTATCATCCCAGAGAGCAGGACGTGGAAAATGGCCTTAAGATACAGGAAGGCAGTTTCCAATTTAAAGTTAGGGGAAAGTCTCTAATGATAAGAGCAGTTCAGTAGGAGAATGAGTCACCCAGAGAAATGTGATCGTCTCTCTCTCGTGGAATGTCTTCAGGAAGAGACTTTTGGAGATGTTTTAATTGGATCCCTACACTAAGTAGGAATGGCCTCTTCCATCTCTAGGATTCTGTATTCATGATGGCTTTATATTTTCTTCTGAAAACCACTTGCCCAAGAGCCGAGCAAGATGGCTGTTACTATTTTCATATTCTACTAGCAGGCATCTAGTTGGCTATGAAGAAGACAGAATTCTTGACTGTACTTATCTGGTACAATTCTTTTTACAATGTGCCCATTTTTTTCTCTTCTAGTTCTTTGAAAACAAGAAGATGACCAAGAATAGAACTAAAAGGTCTGCCATCTACAGCTTCACAGGCACACAGAGAAACAGATGCAGTACATTCCGGGTTAAAAGAAATCACACAATTTATTGGCAAGAAGGACTGTTTGTCTCCTTTGACGGAGGCTATTTAAGGTAAATGTTAAGGAAGGTGGTTGTAGTCCTGAGGTACTGCCTACCAAACCCCAAAGTGGGATGGACCTTTAGAAATGCCTCCCATCCTTTATATTTCTTGATAAGTAGAGATATGAGCTTAATTGTTAGCGCCATGACAGAGCCATATAAGATGGCTCAGGCCCTGTGTCACCAGCTGCTTAGTTTTGACTAAGGTTGCCAAGATCAATTCTGTGCTGTTAGTTTTAAATCTACGGTGCTCAGTGGAGATTTCTCTCCAATAACTGTGAATCCAATTGCAGTCTAAAAGACCCAAAGAAATGTTGATCCGTTGATTCTTAGGACTGAAAACGTTTTATTTCTTGCCACTGCATCGACCGGGACAAGCAGGAAGCTAACATCTTCTCTGAAGACCCACTGGAAAAGAATGAAATCACCACAGATAATGACACATGTTTTTTCCCAAGGCCAGCTTCCATCTCTTCCTCCTCCTCCTCTTCTTTTTTACATTTTTCTAAAGGCCAGCTTTGTACTTCGAAACTCATTTTGGGTTATAGGTTTCCTAAAAACGTTCTCAGATTTGGAAATGATGAAGGCAGAACATTTTTTCAGGCTAGGAAGCTTGGAGGCCAAAATAGATATTTGTGTTCTCCTGCTTACAACTTTCATCTTGTGGCAGCTAGTGGCACTGTCATTTTTTCCTTTGTTTTTTGGTCTTGGAGATCGACAGTTTTTTGAGCTATGAGTTCTATTCTGATGCTGGAAAAACTGCCCAGACTGAGCAATTTTCTCCTAACGTCTTAATCCTCATTGTGAATTGCCCTCCCCCCCCATAGGTACTATTTTGAATCTGGTTCTGTTTGGAAGAAATATGTGGGTCTAGTGAAAGCAAAGAAGATCCTGCAAGTTTGAAGGATTACAGTGCAGTCCTTGGAGCTCATCTGCATTGCCTTCCAGACATGGTCTTTCACTGCACAAATGCAAATGTTAAATGTCTTTGACCCTAAAACAATGAAGAGCAATTTCAGAATTCATGCTGTGGATTCAGACAGAGAGTTGTATATATAACCTCCCACTGTTTTATTTCCAACTACCGACCTTTTCTCCTTTCTGTTTGTAAAAAGAACCCTGTTGTCTTTCTGAACTGGAGATTAAACCGGAGTGTTTAATTCTTAGGAATAATTCCAAGTAAATTGTATTGCCAGGAGTGAAAGGGTGGGAGATAGTGAGTCTAACAGAGTGTGACAATCCTGGGCTACATGCTACATGACGTGGGAGGAGGCAGCATTCTGTACATCTGAATGAAAGCCGTAGATCTAAGAAATAAATAAAAATAAATCAGGAACAGTGAACAATAGAGGTGACCAGATTTCTTAGCAGCTGAGACTCATTGGAAAAGCTGTTAGAAATATACCCAATTCTCCTTCCTTGTGATCAGTTTCTCAACCTTCTTTCTCCTGGCTTTGGTTCCGGCAGTGTGGAGTCCTCTGATGTGAACTGGAAGAAGAAGAAAAGTGGTGGCATTAAAATCATCTGCCAGTCAGATGTGAGGGATTTTTCAGCCATGGCTTTTATCACCGATCATGTGAATTCTTTGATAGACCAGTGGTTTCCAGGTAAGAAGGATTGACGTGTCATTTCTGCTATAGTGGGGGTGAAGTGGCCCCAGCTTGAAATATTATTTTATGTTCTCCTTAAGGATGTAGCATCCTGGATGATGTTTTGGGTTGTCTGATTGGATTCACACATTAGAAGAAGCTATGGTGTGATGTGTTCTGTTTTGGTTTCTTGTGCTGTATGAATCCAACTCATTCATTCATTTATGTATTTGTTCGTTCATTCAGTTTATATGGCCGCCTATCCGCCATGCAACTCTTGGTGGCTAACGATCAGCTAAAAACAAAAAGTATAATGAAACAATTAAAACGTACCACATCAGAGGTCATTCACAACTAATAAACCCTGTAGTAAAGTAATCACATAAACTATTTAAATGAGCTCACTTAAATTTCTGGCCCAATACTTGTGGGAAGAGCCAGGTGTTTAACAGATGTTATGGACATAGGCCATAATTTATGGCTTACAATATGGTGTGAACCCAGTTAGTCCATTATGATTTATTTAAGAAACCATAACCCAACAGGGGTATGTGTACAACCCCACTATCAGATGGTCTATGTCAGCTATAATTTGTAAAGATTGCACTGACTGCTTCAGAAGGGTTTGTGAAAAATGCATAAATGTTTTCATCTCGTGTCATATTATATTAACGTGATCACTCAAAGTTCATAAATGTGAGGATGATAATCTAATACAAAGTGGGGTGTGTGTGTGCACGCCTCTGCTCATGTACTCAAAAAGAACTAGTGGGCTAAAAAAAACCCGAGAATGCATTTTAAAGAGGCATTTCCTCCCTTTTGTAAAATGTCAGTTATGAAATATGCATGTATCATTTAAAATCAAAGAATACGGTGTTTTTAGTTTCAGAATGTTATTTTTGTTTGAATGCAGATTCAGATCACTTAACAGCCACAGTAATTGATTCATCTACTAATCACTGACAGTAATATTATTCCATTAATTAGGCGAACACTTTGATCATTTCCAAATGTTAGTAATGCATGAAAAAGAAGAAAGGAAAGGCATTTTTAAAACCAAATTCAAATTCTGATCAGAATAAGTTTGGGATATTTGAACGGATAAAGAAGCTAAGTGCTAAAGATACAGAACTAAGAGTTACATCATTTTTTTCATGATTATGTGACCCCGGCAACAGCCTGTTGAAAAAAGAAGGAAAAGATGCTGATTTTCTTTACTGGCATTCAGATGTCAAGATGTGTAACACAGTGCTCCCTCTGAGGTTGAGCTCTCAGAAAACTGGGAAGTGGGGGTATGAAGAAAAGATTGTTCTGCAAATTTTTGGTTGCAATTCCTTCATTTAAAAAGCAGCATAATATTTTGCAAAATGCATGCATGTTTCTTTCAGATCTGTCAGTAGCATGCTGTATCACCTGGGGAAATCTTCCCTGATCTACTGCCTTCCAGATATGGGCTACTACAAGTCCCAAGCTATGGTCTTGGGAAAGGTAGACCTGATAGTCAAGATATCTAGCAGGCAACAGTTTGGAGAAGGTTTATCATAGCTAGGTGGAGTTGCTCTTTTGATTTCAGGGAAAGTGATATCCATTCACTTTCTTTTTTGCACATAAACATCTTTGGGTGCTCCTTTGGGCACTGGTACATGCCCATGTTGCATTAGTGTGTTTATGGTCTGCTTACATCAGAGTAAATAGGCTCTGGCTGCCGTATTTGGAAAAGGATATAATATAAAGGCAGTGCAGAAGAGGGCAGCCAAGGAGACTGGCGGAAAGCATGATTGAGGTGGATAAAATCATGCATGGTATGGAGAAAGTGGCCAAGGACACATTTTTCCTCCCTCTTTTGAAACACTAAGTCCAGGGTCATCCAGTGAAGCTGTTTGGAAGGAGATTCAGAGCAGACACAAGAAAGTACTTCTTCACGCATGTGATGGAATTCATCACCACAAGATGTGGAGCTGAGCATTTACTTGGATGGCTTTAAAAAGGATCAGATAAATTCTTGGAGGACAGTCTATTAAGTACTGTTAGTCTTGAAGACTCAATGTTATCTCCTAGTTAGGCCAACATGCCTCCAGATACCAGGGAACATATGTTCATCTGTTTGCAAAGCGTCCAGAAATATCTGGTTAGCTACTGTGATACACAGACTGGAGGACCAGGATGGGCCTTGGCTTGATCCAGCAGAGTTCTTCATTTCTACTGCAGAGGAGCACAACCAGAAGCCCAGACCTATCTGTCATCCCCAGGAGCCTTGGGGGAACTCCCTAGAGCCCTGTCAGAAGTTACAACCAAATTGTCTTTGGCTTTTGTGGGCTAGAAGGGAAAAATAATTGTATTAACTGTATTAACTAATTTAATATAATGTAACTGTGACATCAGTTAAATTAAATCAAATTTAGCTTTTCCCTTGAGTCTGAAGACTTTGGAGAATGTAGTCCGTGGCATGACACGTCGAAGGCAAATTATGACTCTTCACCTGAAGAAAGTTGCACAACCCAGCTTGAATTTTAAAAAGGGCCTGAAATCAATGATTTTGATAAATAAGTCTCTAAGCTGCCATCTCTAACTCTACTCTGGGATAGAGTTAGATGTAACTTCCTGCGATTTAGAATTTCCTACAAGGGGATGTATTTTTAAGTAAGTAGGGTTTCTAGCAAGCTTTTCAAAGCATGCAGGAGGAGAGTTTTCTTTTCAGTGGCCCTTTCAGACCTTGAAGAGAATTTGGCATGGGAGCTAGTACCTCTTCAGCAAGGGTTTGAATTTTCTGGCAGCAGGAACCTTTTAATACATTTGTTAGTCTGAAAAAGGGTTGCCAGATTCCTTCTGGTTTTTGGATACCGTAGACCTGCACGGCTCCCCTCCTACAATACCAGTTCTAGTACAGGATCTTATTTGGATTCAAGTGCAGATTCGCAGCTGTCTGGTTCTCTTCAACCCCCACCGCACACTCCTTTGATATCCATCAAGCAATGCTCTGGGCTCTCTGTGGGAGTTCTATGGCCTTGGCTGTCCATTTTTTCAATGAATTGTGGGGGGTACATGCAGACTGATACATGTCCTTGTTCCTTCCTGGAACAGAAAGCTGGTGCTAACCCCTCTCCTCCTTGTCCAGTCTTGGGCAACCCTCTTTCGAAAGAGGTATCTTCAGTATGAACTGTTTGTGTTATTTTTCCAGCCCTCACCGCCACCGAGAGTGATGGAACTCTACTGATGGAGCAGTATGCACCTTGCCCCGTCTGTTCAGCTGCAAAGCCCCATGATGGGAAAGACGGCCTGAAAAAAGAAGATGTACAGTACTTCAATATGGAAGACTGTTTTCTCAGGGCCATTGAGCAGGACAGCATCACCTGTGCCCAGCATCCAGATCTACCTGTCCCTTTACAGGAGTTGGTGCCCGAACTTTTCATGACGGATTTTCCAGCCAGGTAATAAGGCTCTCCCATTCTTTCTCCCAAAATTATAGCATCTGAGTCTCATTCCCTGGGCTTTCCTACTATAACCATTTTTCAATCACAAATTATGAACAAGTATATATGCTGGGGAGATGCTTGCAGCAAATTCCTTACATTTCTGCCTACCTTAGTCTACCCGGGGAGGCTTCTCCAGCCTGGTGCTCTTCAGGTATGTTAGAACTTCAGCTTCCAGAATTTCCACCAGAAGAGTTTGCGGAGTTACATTTTCAATACATCTGGTGGTGTCAGGTTTGGAAAGAGTGACCTAGTTCTATGTTACACTTAATCATGGGTAATCATGGGTAGCTTGGTCCCACCTGTCCCACCTTCCCAAGTTGTAGATGACCACCTAAAATTGTTACCAAATTGCAGTTTTTAGTGTGATAGAAGAGAAGTAAAAAAGCTTGACTACTGGTGACGCCATGAATACATCCACATAGTTTTCTTGTCAGCAGTTCAGAATTGGCTTATCATTTCTTTCTGGGATTTTTTTTTTTAACTTCACAGTCTAGCTTACAACCTGGGTGTTCCTAGTGGTCTCCTATCCAAGTACTAGCCACATCTAACCCCGCTTAGGTTTTTTTGGCATCAGCCCAGGTTGGCTATCCCCTGCTGGAGGAAATGGTGACCTACACAAGGTTAACAATGCCTTTAATGACCTCTAAATAGAAATGAAATGAAATCTCATATAATTTCTACCCTAGCCTCACTCACTATTTTTTGGAAAGCATCTTCTGCACTCTTTGTAAAGGCCGGGTGTGAAGCTCAGCCTGGAGAAAATTGTGCGTCTCTGCTGTAAGCAGACATGCTGTCCCAGGAAAAGGTGGGGAAAAAACTAAATGATCATCTTGTATGTGCCAAGAATGTTTCTTTGGTTCCCTAATGGAGGAGCCTACCTGCGCTTTGAAGTGATGCTATCGGTCAAAAGATACATTAGATGCTGCCGGTTAAGCAGCCTGACTATAAATGATGGTAATTACGAAATATGTTCTCTGCTTGATAATCTTCTAGTCAGCAGATGGCTGGAGAGGAAGCATCATCTTGGCCAGGGGAAGTGGGCACTGTCTGTTCTGGGAGATTAGGAGGAGGAGAGATGGGCGATCTTAAATCTTGGCTTCAATTGACCTGCATCGCTTAATAATCCCATTTCTCTCTTCACTCCATTCTGTATGCTTGGCAGATTATTCTTGGAAAATAGCAAACTGGAATACATAGAAAATGAAAACAGCATTCTCGGCCAAGGAGGAAGTGGAACAGTTATATATCGGGCACAATACCAAGGAAAACCGGTAGCTGTCAAACGTTTTCAGATTAAAAAATACAAGAGTTCTGCCAATTCAGCAGCAGGTAATACGCCCAGATTTGAGTGGTATGGAAGAGCCGTCCTTTTCTCCTTCCACATGTAGGCAGTTGTTACCTCGTCCCAGTATCAACAGCCCCTGTTTAAATATAGCCTTTATAGCTTATCTAGAAACGATCTGCATTATGGGAAAGAGGAATAAGAGTTTTGGCTGCTTTAACCCTGTTTATGGAAGCGTGCAACTCGGAATTAAAAGCAGATACCTCAAACTCGCTTGCTGCAGAATGAGAAATAAGGAAAAAAATGTGGTGTGGAGGTGTGGATTGGAAAAACGGTTTTGAATGCAGAGATGTGTGAAAGAATGTGTGCCTCTGCCGGGCTGAAGCTTTCTTCTGCAAAAGTTTCATCTGTTCTTACTCAGTTTAATGGAAACAATTTATTAAGTAATTTGAGTTCTATCTTGCCTTTCTCCTTAGTTGTGTATTGAAGGCGTTTGAGTATAATTAAAAGACAGAATGCAAGACCAGTAATTGATGCAAAAAGTAACACTGAAATATTTGGCAATGCTGAAAGATCCTGCTCTGGGGAAAAGGAAAAGGAAAAGGAAAAGGAAAAGGAAACATTGGTTAAATTCTTGTGGATGAAGTAGAGTGTTCTCACACATATTTAGTTACAAGGCACTGAAGGAATATGTGTGAATGTCCTATCTCTCATTTCATAATCCTCCCTCCAGTGGCCTGCAGCCTTCCTGGTTTCCATGATTAATCCCAAGGGAAGATGATGTAAGAGAACACTTCCCATAGGATTTTTGGGAATTCCCATTTTTGGGATGGGAAGTGTGGTTGTCAGGAAGGCTGCAGAATGATAGAGGGTCATTCAACAGGGAAGAAAAGTCAATGCCAGCAACCTCCTACCAACAATAAAATAAACTCAGATAAGGAGTTTCACAAAGAAAAAGAAATCTGAAAATATTCAGAGAATGAGGTTGAGAAGCAAAAACTTCTGCTTTGCCTGTATAAAATGTTAGACTGAGTCCCTTGCATTTCCAGGTTGTGTAGAATGTGTCTGGAAGCTCCTAGATACAAGGACTGGGAAAGTCCTTTTATTTGAAACCTTGGAACAGTGTTGCAAGCCCAAGGAAGGTGCAACTGGAGTTGATAAGTGCATTGAGAACAGTAATGGTCAAAAGGCAGCAGGCAAATAATAGTATTTTTTTTTAGTTTAGGGTAAAAAAAAGAAGAAAAAGATCCTTCACCTATCTATTAAACAAAACTAGTCGTACATCTGGATCGATACCTTATTACACAATTCATTTATTAACATAAAGTCAGCTTATTTAACAATTCAAAAAGAAGTGGGAGGTGATGTATAGAACTGTTGGTACTGCTATGCCAAGCATTTGAATGGGCACTTTGCAAAGCACATTGGCAGAAGCCAAATGTCTCTCCCTGAAGGCTTGAGAACTGCCTCTTCTGGACAGCTTTCCTAGTCACCATCTACGTGCACAGGTGCTTTGCTCTGCTGTTGCCTGGGCATGCATATGTGATGGGATGGGAGGCAGAACCACCGTCAGTTCTGCAAAAAGCCAGCTCCATTGCCTTTCTCCTACCATCTTTCACTTGCTTGTAGCTACTATAAGTGAAAGCAGAAGGGAGAAGAGATGTACAACTGCTCCATCAGTCTGGTCCCCATATGATGGCTTGCTCACTAGTAACAGGCAGATGTGCAGTTCCCAAATACACATCTGGACTCCGTTATGTCTCAAAGTGGTGCAGTGCAAAGGTGGCAACAGTCATGAGATGACTGCTGTTTACAAATTCATGCTGCAGAAAGAAACTCTTGGGCCCACCAGCTTGCAAGAAGCATCTGGACATCCCCTGTGAGAATGTAGGGTTTCATGGGCTCTGGATATGATCCAATGGGGTTGTCCTTATATACGCACCTGTTTTTCTTTGCTTAGACACGATGCTGAGGCACCTGCAGGCAATGGATGCCATGAAAAGCTTCTCGGAGTTCCGCCAGGAGGCCAGCATGCTCCACTCACTGCAATACCCATGTGTGGTCTCCTTGATTGGGATCAGCATCCACCCACTCAGCTTGGCCTTAGAATTGGCTCCTTTGGGCAGCCTCACCACTGTACTGTCGGAAAATTCTAAAGGTAAAGGAAAAATCTTCTGCCCAAACATGCCCACCCTGCGGTCTATAGCCAAAAAGGATTCATACTGAGTTAAGACAGTCCCTGATCTCAGGTTTATCATTTAAAAGACCTAGCCTACAGGGAAAATGAGATGGGGAGGGAAAAGGGCGGGGGAAGCAAACATTGGCATCCATTCTTATGGCATTTAGTTAGAGACCCAAGTGGTGTGTGATGGTCACTATCAAACTAGGAGCAGAGGAGACCATTTTAAGCTATGCTAGGCTATTGCAGGTGTTTAGGTGACTCTGAGCCAGTCACAATATCACGCTCAAAATATACTTCAGAGGGTTGTTGTGAAGATTCAGTCAGATGGGAAGTGCTATTGATGCTACCAGAGGAAGAGCAGGATATCAGTGTAGAGTCTGATGGTCTTTTCTCCTGTCTCTTGCTCTAGGCGCTTCCTATGTACCATTGGGGCACATGTTGACCTTCAAAATTGCATATCAGATTGCAGCAGGCCTGGCGTACCTCCACAAGAAGAACATCATTTTCTGTGACCTGAAGTCCGACAACATCCTCGTGTGGTCTTTAGATGTGAAGGAAAGCATCAATATCAAACTGTCTGACTATGGGATTTCTCGGCAATCCTTCCATGAAGGAGCTTTGGGAGTGGAGGGCACTCCTGGCTATCAGGCTCCAGAGATACGGCCTCGCATCGTCTATGATGAAAAGGTACATGTGGAAAAGGTGCTGTGGCCGCCACTGGCATTCAAAATGCAATTCATGGCCCATACAGTAGCCAGAATCATAATTCCGTTCCCCAGGGCTGCTATTCTAAACATTAGACTATATTTAAAGTATATTAATATATATACTTTAGAATATATTTCTCTACTATATCATGATGCTGAACTGTAGTGGCAAACTGACCAAATTGGACACTCAGATTTCCTGGTCTTTCCTTCCAGCTGAACAAGTTGGTTAGGGCTCCATTAACTTTATTTATTAGTTTATTTGTTTTAACTTATATGGCTGTCAATTTCATCATCACGACCACATGACATCAAACGTAACAATACGTTCTTGATTATTCAATCTCTTTGCAAGCTACTTCTTACAGCAATATTTCTTGTCCCTGAATGAAAGGTTAGGGCACATAGATATACAAAACACAGTTGCGTCTGACTTAGATTCCATTCAATCTTAGATGAGATCGGCATCCATTTCAGCGCTGAAATGTGACGCAATGTTTTTCCCCAGCATCTCTTAATTTTACATCTTAATACTGTTTTTCCCCTATTAGTTTTTGCATTGGTTGTTATTCCAGACTTTGGGAATAAAAGAAAAGCCAAACAGTGATGTGTAAAGGAAAAGACAAGCAACTTAGTGAAATACAATTCCCACAATCGCACGCTGGTTGAGGCTGATGGGATTTGAAGGCTCTGCAGACTTGATAATCACTTCCTTGCCTGCCCCATTGCAGTGTCGCTGAATCACAGTTTCTCTATCATTCTGCGTTGACCTTAGGTGGACATGTTTTCATATGGCATGGTGTTGTATGAGCTGCTGTCAGGGCAACGCCCCATCCTGGGACAGCACCAGCTTCAAATTTCAAAGAAACTCTCCAAGGGGATCCGGCCTGTCCTGGGTCAGCCAGAAGAAGTGCAGTTCCACCGATTGCAGGCACTCATGATGGAGTGTTGGGACACCAAGCCAGAAAAGGTACAGGAGAATGGGGTGTTTGGGCAGAGAGTCCTGTTGATATCTTTCTGAGCTAAAGAAACTGAAAGAGTCTATCTTGGCCAGCCTCCTATTTCTAACAATGACCAACTGAATGCTCAGGGGGAAGCCATAAAGAAAAAGTATAGGTAGGTGGAATCATATCTGCTTTGAACTTGAATGTTGGGCTCCAATCTCTGAGACCAAGAAACAGAGCATAACAAGTGGGGACCCCCAAAATTAGTCCTGCCCAAGATGAAGCTATCCAAACATGTCAGATAACAAGCCTCATGTTCCCAGTCAACTATTTGGCCCTTCTGAATGAGACACTGGAATTGTGGCTCAGTACATCTACAAGATGTTAAGTTACAGAAAGCTAATTTAAATCCATTTTTTTCTGGTTGTTGCTACAGCACTCATATTGTAAATTAATGGATGCTTCGGTCTTTTTAAGGTACTTGGTTGTTTCATAAGCTGGGTGCACATGTCATGCTACATAATGGTTTCTTTAAACAATGGTTTATTAGGCAAGCCACAGCCATTGGAGAGTGCAAACCATGGTTTATGGCTTAGCATTTTGTGTAAATCCAGCCTGTAGATGCACACAGAGTTCTGATTAGGGATCAGTAGATTTTTATAGAAACATCATTCTCCAAGTCTGTCATTTCTTTTATATAGCGGCCACTGGCCATCTCAGTGGTAGGACAAATGAAAAGTCCCTCCTTTGCCACATTCATGTACTGGCTACCATGTGGGAAGCAGTCCTTCTTCTCTTCTCGAGGACAGGAGTACACAGTAGTATTCTGGGATGAGAAGGAAGAGAGCAGGTTTGTATAAAAAAAAACCTTTCAGTGTGTCCTGTGCAGTATAAATAGATTACTTGCTCAGTGTTTCTTAAGCTGTTGATAATGATGCTCTCCTCAAGTACTGTACAAAGGTTTCCTTTACACTCTTTCTTGTCACAAACCCTGTGGTTTGTTTTGCTGTCATTCTCAAAGACTGAAAATGGTAATTGATTGGACTACACTGGCTGTAAGTCCTAGATAACATGATATTGAGCTGACTGGAAATTATGTGTATTGTTGCCCAGCCCATTTGGAGAGCATCCGACTCGGAGTAGCTGATGCAATATTTGAAATCTGTTGGGATGTGCCCAAATAGGAAAGAAGTCAATGGTCCATTTGGTTTCCATTAGTAGAAGAACATGGTCTACTGGGCCATTAAAAAAAGAACCATCTAGGTAGCCAGATGGTCTTGAATTAAGACTAAAGTGTTCAGAGTTTGAACCTTCCATATTTTGCAACTTGCGATATCCAGAAAAGGGTTTCTTAGCCTTGTATAAATTCATTACAAAGGCCCTGAGATCAGTGCTCTGTGTATGAGATATATAACTCTGCTAACAAAATGACCATTATATACTAAGGTAAGTTGACCAGGTTGAAGATAGTGGATCATTCATTTTCAATTAGTTTCAACAATCCCCATTCTTGGTTGTTTTGCAGTGCTTGCATTTGTATGTTTTCAGGCAGGGCAATAAACCAAAACAGCACATCTGATTCAGATCTTTAGCTGCATAATGTCTTTTTTGTATCCAGTCTTTTAAAGATGTCCAGTATTCAGTGATTAAATTTATGAGTACTCTGTGGTTTTTCCCTGCAAACATAAGCAGTATCGTCTTGTGGATAATGGAAAAAACAAACTCTTTGTTCCTCTTTGGAAAAGCTCTCTTGGTACATTGTTTGAAGATGGGTCTAGCAACATTCCAACCCAATTATGGATAGTCTGACTTAACTTCGTGTTAATTTACAAACATAAATTGGAGGCAAGGGAGACGTGCAGCAGGACAAGAATCAAAGTTGGGATAGTACAGAATTTCAGTGCATGATACTAGATTTGCTGGGGCAAGTCCCCTGAGTCAACAGAACAAAGATTTGGTGTTCACACTGGGGCCAAAGATGCAAAGCATAATGTGAAGGAGCTAAGAGATCATTACTTGAAAGGGCTATATATATAATCAAAATTCTTAATAAAAATTATACACACACACACACACACACACACACACATATATATATATATAATTATATATACATAACATTTTTATTAAGAATTTTGATTATAATAAAATCGAATACAAACTAAACTTAAAGAAAAAAAGAATAGAAAAAGGAGTAAAAAGTGCAAGAAAGAAGAAAGAAGAGAAAAAAAGAAAAGTAAGAATATAATCAAGAGAACAAAATATATATAAAGAAGTGACTTCCAACCTTCATCACAAGTATAAACAAATTTAGTGACTTTTCATCCCCTCTACGGCTACAAACATCTCTTCATCCCATATCCCATCTCATCTTTTCAGTCCTAGTGTCAGCATAAAGTCCATAAAGGGTTACTAGAAGTAACAACATCTTGTATTAGCCTTGATGAAATAAACCAACTTCCTTTTACTTCTAACAGTCTTAATGTTTAGTTTGTTCAAACATTGTCATAGGATTTGATTTCTCTTCACTTCTTTGTCCCATCGCACAACTTCTTTTGTAAATCCGGTAGGAAAAAATTATCCAGGTCGCTCTCTTTGTTTGTCATTTGTATTTCCTTTTTAAATTTTGAAACTGAAAAAATTATCCAGGTCGCTCTCTTTGTTTGTCATTTGTATTTCCTTTTTAAATTTTGAAACTGAAAAAATTATCCAGGTCGCTCTCTTTGTTTGTCATTTGTATTTCCTTTTTAAATTTTGAAACTTCAACTAGTTTCTTTTGTAGATCCAGTGAAACATCCTTTTCTAAGTCATTCTCTTGGCCTGTCAGTTGCAAATCCACTTTCGATACCATCTCTACCTCGTCAGATAAAAGTTGTTCTACATCTGTCTTTTCTTCAATAACATCTTTTGGACATAGTCAATCCATAGAAGCTGATATCATTACTGACATTGTTGATATTGTGGCTACTATTTTCTGATTCCATTCTTCAAAAGTCTTCTTCAGTATTTTTATTGTTATAACACTTTGTAACATTTTACAGGCTTGCAAATCTGTCCTCTAAAATCTTTAGTCCCCTCTAGTGTCCAGTTTTTGAAATCATGAAATTCCTTATCTTTGTTTTGTCTTGTAAAAACCAAAACAGAATCTATTTCCCATGAGAAGCTGTTCGTTCTTTATAATTAATTCCAAAACCTTCAATATTCCAATTTTATCTGGACCCTTAGTCCATTTATAACTTTCTAAGATCAAAATCT